CCCCCCAACCCCCCCAACCGCGGAGTTTGCCAGGCCAATGGGAATCTGGGCCTGGCCCGGAGTGGGGGTGGCGGGCATTGTTGCCCGTCAGCGTGGATTGTTCCACCAGCCCTGGGCTCTCTAGGTCTCCCACCTTCTTCATTAGTTAGTTCTTGAGTTTGACATCCTCCGGGACGGGAGGCGGGATGAACAAGCAGCTCTTCTGGGCTGGAGCGCGCCCCCCCGCCCCCTTTCCTCCCCCCTGGCTCTCACACCTCGAGACTAACCTCAGCCAGCGCTGTGCTACTTTTAGCCCAACGTGGCAAAGGCGGGGTGGGTGACTGCTCCCGATCTCCGCCCTCCTACCCCCAGTCTCCTAGGGTCGGTCCAGGTGACTGGCTGCACCCTAAGCCCCCACTGCTGCTAGGTGTCCAAACGACACGCTTCACTGGCAGCCCACACTTGCCCCCCCAGGGGGAGATGGCATTTAGGCTGAGCAGGCTCTACAGGTCTGGACCGCTCTCTTCCTTGCTTTGGCTCTTATTTTGAGCCTTATTTTGAGACAGATTCTTACCAAAATTTCCATACTTACTCCTGTGTTCTTCCCACCCTTTAAAAATGTTACAAGTAATGTATGATTGTACTAGAAAAACTAGAAAATGCAGATAGGCAAAAAGAAAAAACTGTAAGAAGTGAATTCAAATCTTATAACCTAGAGCAGCAATTTTCAACTCGTGGGCCACAAGAATTTTTAAAACATGCAATTCCTGACTATTTAGTCAGGGACACTGACCTCTTTTCCCTTAGATTGTCAACTTAAAAAGTGACAACAGTCAGCACAACAATAGCTGTTGGGTGTGAATGAATCAAAATTATACCTACTTTTTTTTTTTTTGTCAGATCGGTCAAAAAATATATTTTTTAGTGTGCTGCAGAATTTTAGTAATTAGTTTATATGCATCATGAAATGGAAAAGTTTGAAAAAGCACTGACCTAGGGAACCACTTGTTAACTTTTGGATTCCCGTCCTTCCAGAATTTTTCTCATAAAAAACCACATTCAAATATCCTATATAATAAAAGACTAATATGAAAATCGACCGAATGGCAGAAGGACCAGTGGCTATGATGCACATTGACCATCAGGGGGCAGACGCTCAACACAGGAGCTGCCCTCTGGTGCTCAGTGCACTCCCGCAGGGGGAGCACTGCTCAGCCAGAAGCCCTGAGCTGGCTCACGTGCAGCGGAGGTGGTGGGAGCCTCTCCCGCCTCCAGGGCAGTGCTAAGGATGTCCTACTGACATCCCCCAAGGGTTCCTGGACTGCAAGAGGGCGCAGGCCGGGCTGAGGGACCCCCACCCCCCAGTGCATGAATTTTGTGCACCAGGCCTCTAGTATATTATAAAAATGGCAGGTTGCATAGGATAGTGTTCTGTAACCTACTTTTCTTACTCAGAAAAACAGTCTGTAAGTGGCTTCTCTGGCCAATAAATAAAACTTGGGCTCTCTTTGTGTAGCACCTAGTATCCAAATCATAACTGGCAGTTTCTAGGTGACCTTTTTGGGCTGGCATTGATCTCATGGATTCTCTTATTGCTTCCTGCCCCTCTCCCCATTCCGGAAGGCATTGGTTTGGCATCTGTGGTCATTGAGTCCTATTTGAACATCTACTACATCATCATTCTCGCCTGGGCCCTCTTCTATCTGTTCAGCTCCTTCACTTCTGAGCTGCCCTGGACAACCTGTACCAATACCTGGAACACAGGTATCTCTCTTTTCAACTCCTGGGATGTGGTCTCTCCCTAGGGGCTGGGCTTGTGGTGGTTGGATTGTGTCAGAGGCTGGTGGGCTGGAACAAGAGCAGAGTGAGGCACATGGGGTAGGGGCTGAGCCCATGAACCACCTGAGCAGCCAATTCCTGACGCTCTGGAGGTGGGGGTTTCAAAGAAAGCTTTGGGATCTGGAATGTTGGTGACCACCAGGCTGTAAGACCAGCGGGTCAGAGGTACTAGGGTGTGAGGGCAACTCTTCCTATCTCATCCCTAGCTAATGCACTCCTCACCTTTTCCCCAACAGAGCACTGCATGGACTTTCTGAACCACTCAGGAGCCAACACAGTGACATCCTCTGAGAACTTCACCTCACCTGTCATAGAATTTTGGGAGTAGGTGTTGGGCCTGGTTGCCATGGGCCAAGGGGCCTCAAGCAGAGGAAATTTGGATATCTGAGGCCTGGGGTGCAAGTTTAAGGCTCTCTGTGCATGTTTTCCAGCACTTACCCCCACCCCACACATCACTGAGAGATGAGGGGACGCTCATATCTACTCACGGTTGTTCACCTACATCTCCCAAATCCACCTATGTTCACCCAGACTCACACATTTATCCACCCTATACCCTCACATCCTCTGTACCCTACACACTCACCAAGACTTGCACATCTACCCACACATGTCCACTAGTGTCCTGGAAACAGTCTGGACCCACTTAGGAGAGCTGATTGTACACATCCCTTCCCAACTCCATGTCCAGTCACATTGGCCAACGTGGGAGTATTTACACCACAGAAATTGGAAGACCCTACACTCACACATTCACCTTCCCACATGACCCTTATACCCTCACACCTACCTGTGCCCACACTCTCACACATTTCCATCACTCCTGTACACATCTTTAGGCACTATTATACATGTGACCCCTCCACTTGATACCCATATACTTGCTCATCAACCTGCAAGTATAAATATTTACTCTCCATATATTCATTTATACATTCCTTACCTCACCTTTCCCTCTCTCTCTCTCTTTCTCTCTCTCTCCAACAGAGAGATCTGAATGAGTTAGAAAGACAAAGATACCTATGGTATTACGTGATTTGGTCTTCTAACAGCCAGGGGCATACAGACAACAGGTGGGAACATGGCAGGGCCATGGGAAGGTGGAGTGGGTGGGGGCAGGGGAAGCCTGGAACATGAGATCTGTGGGGTCAGCTCTAAGAATCAGGAGACTTGATGACAGAGGCAAGTTTTCCCCTTTAGCCTTTCACCTGTTTGTTTATTTTTCCACTCATTAGGAGACGTGTTCTGGGCATCACTGCAGGCATCCACGATCTGGGAGCCCTGCGTTGGGAACTGGCCCTGTGCCTCCTGCTTGCCTGGATCATCTGCTACTTCTGCATCTGGAAGGGGGTCAAGACCACAGGCAAGGTGAGGTGCTCTGGTTCCTGGTAAGCTCTCTGTGTCCCCAGAGCCCCCAGGGACACTCACAGCATCTCTCTGGAGAACTGAAAGAAAGCATAGTCTAAGGAGAGGCCTGGTGAGAACATGGGAAATCATAGGAATGCAGAGTTTAATTCAATACAAGGAAAGCCTTCCTTTTTCAATATGATTTTAGAAGGCCTCTTTATGTAAGTAATATACAGAGCAAAATCAGAAACATAAAAGGCCCACTGTCAGAGCTAAGCATTGTACAAGCCATCAGCGCGATGACAGGTTGGATCTACTAATCCCTTCTGTTAACCTTTTGCTGTGTTGCCTTCTAGTTTCCTTTATACGCGTGTATGTGTGTAGCTGTATCTAGTACACGTGTATATCACACAGTTAGGATCAGATACTCTTTTTTTAATCCTCACTTGAGGATATGTTTTATTGATTTTAGAGAGAGAATAAGAGGAGAGAGAAACATCGATTGGTTGCCTCGGTATACATTCCAACTGGGGATCGAACCCACAACTGGAGTATGTGCCCTGACCAGGAATCGAATTCACAACCTTTTGAGGCATGGGAAGATGCTCTAACCAACTGAGCCAGGCTGGATCAGACACTCTGATGACTTGCTTTCTGTATTTAACAACAAACACCTCAAGACAATGTTTAGCTTGAGCTAGCACACGGACCTGTCTTTGAGGTGGTGAGTTTCCAATCCCTGAAGGGGTTATAGCCAAGAAGGGGCCACGGCCACAGTACTTGTTGCACTGAGGCAGTTCAGCTTTGAGCGTTATTTCCAACCCAGAGAGGCAGAGACAGAAGCTTCGTGCTCTTTAAAGCCAGGAACAGACAGGTCCCAACTTCTTCGACTAACCTGCTTTTGCAGCACCACCCCCATTCTATGGATTGTTGAAATAATACTAAAACAGTGATAGTAATGACAACATAGTAATAGTAATAATACTAACAAGGACTCTGCCGCCACCTGGTAAGGCCTGAGCTTGGCCAAGGGCAGCGTGGATTCCTCTCTCAGTGTCTCCAGGATACCTGGAGCTCAGGCCACTGCTCTTCCCAGCCTTCAGCCTAGAAAATGCAGTCTCCGTGTCCTCACAGATCACTGTACAAACTGCCTGCCCACCCCTCTCCCGCCACCCGTGAAGGGAGGCCACCCTCCCCAGGGGACATGCGGAGAACAGCCAGAATAAGGGGTTAAGGGAGACCAGATTCTGGATTTAAAAATAGTCTTTGAAATGTTACGGCTGAAACTTGTACCCCTCCCTGCCCTTCCTCCTCCCCTTGCCCTGTTGATGTGAATCTCACACTCTGCTGGGGGCCCAATACCCGCAGGAAGGTGGAATGAGAGGTGCAGAAAGTTTGTGTGTCCATCCCTCTAGATGTCTCTCAGGTGTTGGACACTGAGCTAGGTGTGGCTCGTGCCTCCTGGGGAGGGGTGACAGGAAGACCGCTGCAGGTCCCTGACACCTCCCAGCTGCTGTGACCGCACAGAAGTGACTTTGACCTGCTTTCCTCCAAGGTTGTTTATTTCACAGCCACGTTTCCCTACCTGATGCTGATCATCCTTTTGATTCGAGGCATCACGCTTCCCGGAGCCTATGAGGGCATCATCTATTACCTGAAGCCAGATTTGTCTCGCCTGAAGGACCCCCAGGTAGGAACTGTGATGGGGAACATTTTCCCAAAAGTCTCTTATTCCAAACCGGATCTGTACTTTTGAAAATCTTTGATCACTTTCCTCCTGGTTTAAAGGCAGTCAATGTCCACTGGAGAAAACTTAACATGAAAAGGAACTAAAACTCACCACTCAGCTACAATCTCTGTTAGCATTTTGGTTTTTTTTTAAATTCTCACCTGAGGATATTGTTTTCATTGCTTTTCAGAGAGAGGAGAAAGGAGTGAGTGAGGGAAGGAGGAAAGGCGAGAGAGAGAGAGGAGAGAGAAACGCTGATGTGAGAGACATACATTGATTGGTTGCCTCCCACATGTGCTCTGACCGGGAATCAAACCCACCCCTTTGGTGCTGGGCTGACGCTCTAACCACTCAGGAACACTGGCCAGGGCTTCTGTTAGCATTTTAGTATATTTCCTTCCATCATTTTTTCATAGCTGGATAGTGTGTGTGTGTGTGTGTGTGTGTGTGTGTGTGTGAGAGAGAGAGAGAGAGAGAGAGAGAGAGAGAGAGAGAGAGAGAGGAGAAAGAGAGATATAACATAGTTAAGATAATTATATATAGAAATATATCTTTTTTCACTTATATTTAAGCAGTTTTCATGTTATTAAGTTCATTTGTAAATGCCATTTTTAACACTTGCATAATAGTTCCTCCATCCATCTATCCATCCATCCATCCATCCATTCACCCATCATGTCCTGGGGTCCCAGGAAGTGCTGGGAGCGCAGTAGCGCTGGTGAGGTGGGCTCCATGCCTCTGAGCGTCACACCTGGGGCCGGTATTGTCTTTTACTCACCTCTTCCCCTGTTTTGGGACATATAGGTTATGTATATTTTTACAATTGTATGTACGGCTGCAATGAACACCTGTGTTTAAATCTCTGACCACATCTCTGATCATCATTTCCTGACCGTAGTTAGACGTGAAAACACTAAGTCAAAGAGTGTGCACATTTTCAGGTTCCTGAACTGTCCCGGCTGCAGAGCTGCAGACTTCCACGGCCAGCGTTTCCGCAGGGTCCACGAGAGGTCAATTATGATTTATTTTAATTGTTGATAATTTGATAGGTCAAAATAACATCATATTGTTGGTTTATTTTAAAAAATTTTATGACTGCAAGGTTGGATATTTCCCCACATATTTATCAACCATTTGTATTTCCTGCTCTAGGACTTGTCTGAGCACATTCTTTGTCTCCACTCCCCGCCCCCCCACCCCCCCAAGATGCTTGGGGTTTCTTCTCTATGTCAATGCCGTGGCCCCTATGCCCAGCATGGCTGCCTAAGGCACATCCTGCTTGTTGAATTGAGCAAATGCTCTTGTCTCCCCTGCAGAGGGCCTCACCTTCTCTGGGTCGTTGCCATGGGTGACAGGCTCCACCTAAGCATTTCAAGTAACACACTCTTATTTGGTGTTTACTTAGTGCCCCCAGAACCAAGTTACAGATGGGCCCTGCCTGTGAGAGGAGGGTGTGCTCACGAAGAGTTGGGATTAAGGGACTCTGGGAACACGAAGCAGGCCTGCCGGGCTCCCTCCACTCTCCCTCACCACTTTCTTGGGGTCTCCTGTAGGTGTGGATGGACGCGGGCACCCAGATCTTCTTCTCCTTTGCCATCTGTGTAGGGTGCCTGACAGCCCTGAGCAGCTACAACAAGTACCACAACAACTGCTACAGGTAGGGACACGGTGAGGGGCCCTGGGGGACCTTGCCTGCCCACATCTGAGGAGGGCGGGTCCTGCAGTGGGCCCAGACCTTCCTTCTTTATTATTGGGAGTGACAGGTTGTGTGAAATTGCCATTCTGGGTTCGTATCCCAGACTGAATGTCTCTCTTCCTCCCTTTCCTGTCTCCCTTCCCTCTCCTCGCCTTCTGAAACCCCTTGTTTGTCCTTTCCTTCTTTTTTCTTCCTGTTCACTCTTCCTTTTCTTATACTCTTACTGTCTTCTGATCTCTCCTCAAATATTGAATTTCATTCTCCCTTTTTCTTTGTTTTATCTGCATTTGCCTGCCTGCAGGGACTGCATTGCCCTCTGCTTCCTGAACAGTGCCACCAGCTTTGTGGCTGGGTTTGTGGTCTTCTCCATCCTGGGCTTCATGTCCCAAGAGCAGGCGGTGCCCATCTCTGAAGTGGCTGAGTCTGGTAGGTGTGACATTGCTGTCTGGGACCTGAGGGGAACGAGGGTCAGAACACAGATCCTCCTACAGGAAAGCAGGGTCCTATGAGCCTTTTAGCGTTGAGGGCGGTGCTTGGCACATAGCAGGGCCTCCATAACCTTGGGAGGGAGGGAGACGGGATGGGTGGATGGACCCATAGTTGCATGCTTGAATGGAGAAATGGGTGGATGGAGGGACAGCATGCTCCCCAGAACCTGGGAAGAGCAGAATAATGAATGGAATCACCCTGCCCTCTTGAACCACCCCTATTATATACACACACACACACACACTCACACTCAACATGCACACACACTCATGCACACACACATACTCACATGCACACACTCACACTCACACGCACACACACATACTCACATGCACATACATAGTGCCTCTGGAGAGGGTCCTTCCCTGAGGGCAGTGAGAGCCCTAGGCCCATGGTTGGCAAACTGCGACTCCAAGCCACATACGGGCTCTTTGGCCCCTTCAGTGTGGCTCTTCCTAAGCCTTAGGAGTACCCTAATTAAGTTAATAACAATGTACCTACGTATATAGTTTAAGTTTAAAAAATTGGGCTCTCAAAAGAAATTTCAATTGTCGTACTGTTGATATTTGTCTCTGTTGACTAATGAGTTTGCTGACCACTGCCCTAGGCTCACCTGATTGTGTTGTGTCCTGGCAGGCCCTGGTCTGGCCTTCATCGCATTCCCTAAGGCTGTGACTATGATGCCCTTATCCCAGCTGTGGTCCTGCCTTTTCTTCATCATGCTCATCTTCCTAGGGCTGGACAGCCAGGTTTGCCACCCAGCCTAACCCAGCCCAGCACAGCACAGCCCAGCCCTGCCCAGTCCTGCCCAGCCGAGCCCTGCCAGCCCTCCCCTGCCCAGCCCTGCTCTGCCCAGCCCTGCCAGTGCTGCCCTGGTGACCGTCTTTTCAGCTTCTGCATTTCCTTGCATTACCTTCCCTCTAACTCCCTTTCCCCTTACCATACATTTGAAGGCCCTTTCCGCTGTCCAGGGCTTGTTCTTGGGGTTAGTTGGATGACCCCAGACCTCGAGACCCTCTTTGGCAAGGGGGCCACTGCTTTGTTCCGCCTCACGTGACCCTTCCCCATGCTTGGATGCACCCTCCCAAATGTCCCTCCTGCCTCCTTCCAGATACTTGGCTCAAGCTGCCCATCCTGCCCCATAGCTTTGGGGACAGAACACATATCCTCTCTCCAAGTGTCACTGCTGGGACCCTCTGTTGTGGATATGTGGCCAAGGGCAGAGATGGCCTCACCCCTGGCCACCACCCATTTCTGCCCTTTGTACCCTCTCTGAATGCCTGTGCATCAGCAGGGGGAGTGGGGTGAGAGGAGGCCCGGGCAAGGCGGTGCTGGGAAGGCCCAAGGGCAGGGGCCCCTCTCACTCAGCTTCCCTCCTGGCCCGCAGTTTGTCTGTGTGGAGTGCCTGGTGACAGCCTCCGTGGACATGTTCCCCAGGCAGCTCCGGAGGAGCGGGCGGCGAGAGATCCTCATCCTTGTCATTTCTATCCTGTGCTACCTGATAGGACTCCTCCTGGTCACTGAGGTGAGCAGGGGCGGCGCCTGCAGCTGAACTCCAGGGTGAGGGAGCCATGGGGACACCACTGACCCTTCTCAGAGCCACACTTTTCTCATCTGCTGATCAGGGGTGTTGACACTTCACAGTGAGATTGTAGGGACCACACAGTAGAACCCATCTCTGTTTGTGAGCTGTGTTTTGGTTTTAGAAACCAAACACAAGCTGGCTTAAGCAGAAAGGGGAGTTTGGGGGTCAGGTAGAAATATTTTGTTGTATGTATGGTTGGACCCAGCTGCTCTAATGACATGGTCAGAAGTGTCCCTCTCTGTCTCCCAGTTCCCTTTCCTCTGGTGACTTCATTCTTAGCCAGATGGCCCTCCTGGTAGTAAAGAAGGTAACTTCTGCCACCCAACCACCCCACAGGAGAGAGCACCCTTTCCCTGAGAGCGTGGCCAGCGCCCAGCCATGACTCTCCTTCAGGGAGGGGAATGCTGGGCAGACAGACAGTGTATGTCCACCGCAGTCCCAGCGTCCTTGCAGATGTGAGAATTGTTGCCCTGATGTTAAGTGAGGGCAGGAGGCAGGGAGAGGTAGAGCAAACTCCTTCTGGAGGCAAGGAGTAACTTCCCATGGGCGGGGGTGGGGGTGGGGGGAAGCCACGGACAGAGGCTTGCCCTGTTGCCCTGTTGCCCTGTGGCGGAGCATGGTCCCTGCCCCCACTGGCCAAGTTCTCAGTTCCCCGCCCCTCTCCACAGGGCGGGATGTACGTCTTCCAGTTGTTTGATTATTACGCTTCCAGCGGCATATGCCTGCTTTTCCTCGCAATGTCGGAAGTAATCTGCATCAGCTGGGTGTATGGTAAGTGGGTTGGGAGGAGCCTCTGGAACCCAGCTAAGGGTGGGACTTGCCCGGATGAGGGACAGGGTGTGCTAGCCTCTGATTTCTGTGTTTTTGTATTGCTGTCCTGGTTCTTTTCACGTGGTAAGTGTATCCATTGCTGGGAATCCAGGCATTTCGCATTATGCAGGAAGAGTGGGGATAATGACAACACTGAGTTCCTTGAGGGGTGAGGGCCGTTATAAATATCAGTGGACAGTTTGGTTTTTCTTTGCTACAGAGGCTGCCAGAGATCCTTCCCTGGCAGGAGTTGTAGTTAAAAGAGACCTTGGGGCCATTTCTTCTGATCCTGTGCAGATCCCACAGTCCCTTTCGAAGTTATCACCCAGATTTTGCTGAATTCTTCCACGAACAGGAAAGCCATTCCTTTTCCCTTTAGGCTGTTAGGCATTTCTTTCTTACACAAAGGTGAACTGTGCCTTCCATTGACTTTTCCCCACAGCCCTAGCCCCTCGGCTGCGAGATAACTAACCCACAGTGCTGAGTGCTGTCATACCCACGCTGTTATTGTGCCTCATGACAACAGGGGAGAAACCCTTAGCTACTGAGCCAGTGCACTGCTATGTGCAAGCACTTGCTACTTCCCAACCTGTACAACAACCCTTTACCAGGGAAGGTGAGGCTAAGAGAGTTATGGCTCTTTCCTGAGCTCACACATATAGTAAGTGGAGGAGCCATCATCATACCCCAGGTCTGTCTGGCTCCACTGCACCAGGTTGGGGGGACACATTGCCAAAGTCACAAAGCTCAGGGCAGAGAGGGTAAAGGGTGTCATGTACTGGGGCCTTGTAACCAGCATTGAGTAGGAAAGCTTTCATTTTGCTACCCTTGGCCTTCCTATTTGATGTCCTTTCCTCTCCATGGAGATGTCCTCTCCCTTCTCATTCAAGCACCTGATGTCTTCCCGATTGTGCCCTTCTCCTTTTCAAAACTTGTTCTCAGAGAGGGCCTGATGAACTCAACCAGAGTGAGGTGTACATGGCTGATGAGTCTTAATATGTTAAACCTACTCAAGAGTATTTGGTTTCTAATGGGAGAAATTTACAAGCCAAAGGAATGACTCTTTAATGGTGGCATTTCCTGCCTTAGTAACCAGAGGGAAAATCTTTTTTTGGTGAGGGGTGGCTAGAGGGGTCTTCTAAGTGTCTTTACCAATCAGGGGCTCTTCACTTCTTAGAAGACAGAGCAAATGTGAAAACCTAAGGACATTAAACAAAACCAAACATCAGTGTTTTCATGTGCACTAGTCAACCCTCTCCCCATGCGTGACTGAGAATGCAGGAGGTTCCTCTGGAGTCTAGAATTAGGCTTCCCAGTAGTGATCTTCCCCTTCCCTCTCCATCCTCTTATCTCTCCCCTCTGCTCCCTTCCCTTCCCTCTCCACCCCCTCTCTTCCCTCCCCTCCCTTCCCGTAGAGAGCTGGTTCTATTAGAGTGGAAAAGATCTGCTTGAGCAGTGACACACTTGCTTTTTTGTGTTTTGCCTTGAAACCGAATTCATCTTTGCTATGCAGATAAACAAGCATCTGTATATATAGCACTGAGCCCCATTGTAGGCTCACACCCTCTTCTGTGGTTAGGACAGTGGAGTCTTCATCCAATGACTGGGGGACAGAGACTGCACCCAGAGTTTGGGTGACCCCAGGGCCCCTGGCTTGTTGGTGGCAGCTCCTTCTCCCTCCCCAACTCCCAGCACTGTGTCTGGAGTGCCAGGGACCCATCTCATTCACAGGGTAGGGGGAAGAGCTACCAAGGGAGTCCTTCCCAAATACCCATGAGCTGTCCTCACCTTTCTGTTCTCATTCTTCCCCCACTGTGCCTGGGCAGGGGCAGACCGTTTCTATGACAACATTGAGGACATGATTGGCTACCGGCCATGGCCCCTGGTAAAGATCTCCTGGCTCTTCCTGACCCCTGGACTTTGCCTGGTATGTGCCCACCCAGCTACCCCTTTATTCCCTCCTGCCTGCAGCAGACTCGGGGGGATGAGGAACAGGTTGCCTGAGTTCTGGGGCTCTGTCCCTACCTGTCCAGTGATCTTGGGAGGCTGGTCCATTCCCTCCAATGTATTGGTTCCCTCGGCCCTTCTTGTCTGGGGCTATCTCTTCCATATGTTTGCTTTACTGCCTTTATCATCCATTCCTATTCCTTCTCCATCCCTTTCTCACAGCATCTCCAGCCATCTGCCTAATTTCCCAGTTATTGGTCTCTTTGTCTGTTTAGAGTTCCTCTGTCTCTCTTCCTTTCCTTTACGTCTCCTCCTGTCTCAGTCTTTGATGTGAGTGATGCCTAGGCCCCTGATTTGCAAATGGCTTTTACTTTCCCGCCCCATAGATGTAGCACAGTGTATCTAAATTGTCCTCTATCACTGTGTATTTAAGTAGAGAGGAGAGAATTTTATTGGCTCTAACTCATCTGTGTCTGACCACCCTGCCCTCTGCCCCACTCTTTCTAGGCCACTTTCTTCTTCTCCTTGAGCAAGTATACACCTCTCAAATACAACAACATCTATGTGTACCCTCCCTGGGGATACTCCATTGGCTGGTTCCTGGCTCTCTCCTCCATGGTCTGCGTCCCACTCTTCATCATCATTACCCTCCTGAAGACCCAGGGTACCTTCAAGAAGGTAGGGGGCTGAGGGAAGTGACACATTCAAGAGGGCACTGAGAGAGGTGGGTCTTGGGCAGCATACTACAGCTGGGGCCCAGCTATGAGTGTGGGGCAGCCCTTCAGTCTAATAGAACCTTAAAAAGAAAGGTCTTTGAAGATCAGTCTAATAGTTTCATGTCCAGAAACATTAGAAAATCCCAGAGTTGTAGACCTTTAGAACCTGACCTCTAAAAGATCATTGAGGCAGGTTAACCAAAGGTCAACTGTCAAGGGTTAAGGGGAAACTAAGTCACAAAGGAGAACATAAATGGGCCCAGACACAGAGGCTTACAGAGCACAGATCCCTTGCTCTCAGGAAACTGATAACTGGCTATCATGGTTCATTCCACACTGTCTCCCGGCGTCTTTTCTTATTTTAACCTTGTGGGGAAATGTGCACATTTAGAGTTTGGGACATGCCTTCTTGGAAGAGTATATAGTCAGTGTCTCTCAAAGACATTACACAATAGAAATATATCTGGCCTACAAGTAGCAGAAAACTCAACCTGCAATAAGCAAATAGGTTTATTTTTTTCTTACATATCAAGGAGATCAGAGACAGGGGTTGCTGGCATTTTGTTCAGCTGCTTAAAGAGGGCATTAGGGACCAGACTCATCCTATATTCCTGCACTGCCATCGTGAGCATGTTGTGTGTTCATTATAAGCTTATCACTCATCGTCACAAGAAGGTTGTCATGACTCCAGCCGTCACATCAGCAATCAAGGCAAGAAGGGCGAGGGAGATGATACCACAAATCCCAATAATGATAGTAATGCAGAATTACTACTAGTAAAAATAATAATAGATACTTATTGAGCATATAATAGTAAGAAAATTAGTAATAATAAGAATAAAAATATATACTTATTGCTGCCTTACCCTGTGTCAGACACTGTTCTATGAGGTATGTACTCTTATAATCCTCATTTTATAGATGAAGCAGAGAGGGGTTAAATGGGTTGCCTAAGATTGCACAAGTAACAGAGCCAGAAGTGGAACCTAATTCACGCTCTTAATCACCATATTATTTATTTATTTATTCACTCATATGGTACTGAGCTGCCCCCATGTTCTTGGCTCTGTGTTGGGCCTTGAAGATACAGACAGGAGAAAGCATCTTTGCCTCTCTCACCAACAATACCCACTCATTCCCTCTTCTCTCCACAGCGCTTGCGACAGCTCATCACCCCTGACCCCAGCCTGCCACAGCCCAAGCAACACCTGTGTCTGGATGGTGGCACCAGCCAGGACTGTCGACCCTCCCCAGTGAAGGAGGGACTGATAGTTGGGGAGAAAGAGACCCACTTATAGGATGTGGCTGAAAGCCAGGGGGCTCCTGAGCCAGGAACCTGGGGTCAGGGCCACCCTCTCCCCCCAGTGGACAGCCTTCGCCTCTGTCCCCACCACAGCCCTGTTGAGAATGCCTGTGATGTCTGGGGCACCCCCAGTGAAGGCAAGATTTCCTCCTCTCTCTTCTCAGCGGAAGCAGCTCCTCCTGGTGGGCTCAGGACGGTCCCGCAGGAACATGCCATGCTGTGAAGAGACTCCCTGCTGGAACCCACTGTCTTATTTATAAAGGAGGGTGGTCTTTTTGGAGTTCACCATCTGATTATAGCACATTACATTGTGAGGGATCTCCCACTGCAGGGATGTTTCCTGTTAGAGTTTACTACATCTGTGCATTGGAAGATAGTGCCAATTGGAATACACATCAGGATCTGATTCAGAGAGCACGATGGAACACTGCTGGAAGTGGCACTGAACACACCATGTTGGACTCTGACATTCCCTTAGAGGGGGCCCCTCACTAGGTGTAGCAATCTGGAGTCCAGGGGGAGGGGACTAGAGAGTCAGCCAGGAGGCAGATCTTCACAGGCCATCATTGCATTGACATTTCCAGGAGGCAGTCTCTCCCAGTGTTCCTAGTGCCAGTGCTAGTTCTACACTCTTCTTCAGATGTTATCAACTCATGGAGCGTTCAAATGGAAAGGACTTACAGATGATGCCTGGACTGTGTCCTATGTTCATGACAGACATTGCTAATTGATTACCAATTCTTTCCCACCTCATAGTCCTTCCAAATATAGTGCTCCAGGCAGCTTCATTTGCCATCCTGCTTTTGTGCAAATCCCTGACTTCATGAATGAGGACCAATGAGACAAAGCAGCTTTTTCAAATTCACGCAGTTCCTCAGCACCAGAGAGACGACTGGAACCTGGTCCTCTGTTTCTCGGCCAGTGTGCCCCCCGTCACGCCCTCCTGCGTTAATAACCAAGCATGTGTGGATCACCTGCCCCGTGTGCTGCCTTCTTTACCTCACCCATGCCTGTTCAGTTACGCTGTCTTGGGGTAGGAGGGAGAGAGGTCGCTTCTGTGAAGGGGTGAGCAGCTCTTCCTAGAGTGATGCCTTCACCATAGTATTTTCTCTGCCAGCCCCTACTCATCTGACCAGATTTCCTCTCCAGACCCCTCATTCTTGACACTTTCTGTCTCTCCTCCCACAGGGGCGGGCTTGGGGCCTGCAAGAGCCTTCAGGTCTCAAACAGAGAGGGAGGTGTGTGTGGGGGGTGCTCCTTTCCCCTACCTACCAGATCATGCAGGCCCTTCTCTGGCTGGAGTCGGCTTTGTGGAGGTGGAAGGCAGGACTTGTGTAAGAAGGAAGCGAGGAGGGAGAGTGGAGGTGGGGTAGGCTACTCAGGACAGTTTCCTGGGGCAGGACCTGAGAGCTGGAAGAGAGGAAGTCACCTGGGGAGGGTTATGTGTAGGTAGATGTCACCCAGAGCCAGTGCCCAGTGGCTGGAGTAAAACTATGGTCTGGCCATGGTGAGTTCCATCTCCAACAGCCTGGCATCCTCAGATCACTCACCACCCTTTGCCCAGATAGGAGATGCTTCTCACTTGTAAGAACAAGTACGTTGTCACACTGGGCACGAGCAGGTGTCCAGACTCCTGGGTTCTGGCAGTCTGCTTCTGCATTCCTCTGGACCGCTCCGTGCACCTGTGTTCACCTTTCTTGGACTAGTCAGTGGGTCAGGAAGTGGGTACAGAAGGAAGGGATGGAGAGAAACGGCTTCAGTCAGATCACACTCACTGATGAGACTGGGGAGCCTTAGTTGAGGCTGGCACAGTGCTCTCTGCTGCCTCTTGGTGGCCAATAGTAGCAGTGCCGCTTCCCCAGGTTCCCCGCAGGACCTCCCCAGCACTCACAAACCAGAGGGAAGCGCCGTCACCCCGTCCCCAGCTGAGCAGCTCTCCTTCCCTGTCAGCTTTCACCACCTGGAACCCAAACACTTCCCTCACCCTTTTCCCCATGGTCCTGGTGGGGCTCTCCTAGAGAGACAGATTGCAGTGGACAGGCGGCCGGCCAGCCAGGCTTCTCAGCTACCTGCTGCCACCTAGGCTCTGTCAGCCTGGGGGACAGCATTTTCTGTTGTGGGCAGGTCTGCACAGTGGTGGGGCACAAGCTCTCCCCAGCTCACGGGGCCCTGAATTATCTCTCTGTCTTGGCAGACAGTTCACAGACACCATTATCCTCTCCCATCTTCCTCACCTCACATAAATCCGCCAGACCCCCTGGCTCTAAACTCACAGGCTGTCTTAGAAGGTCTCTGTTCTGGCTCTGGGACTGCTGGGAGCACTCAGTATAGAGCCCCCGTGGCCTGTGAGTCCAAAGGATCTGGAGGGGTGGCTCAGGACTGGAGGAAACAGGGCGTTCGGGAAAGGGACTTCCAGCCAACTTCATAGCTCATAGGAGCCCACTCACAGCATGGGCAAGGAGCAGCAATTGAGCCCTTTAAAGTACCCCCAGCACTGATACAGGTGTGTGTGTGTGTGTGTGTGTGTGTGTGTGTGTGTGTGTACATATGTGCACACAGAACAGGTACGGGGTTAGCTGGGCTTGCTTCCATCTCCTAGGTTGGGCTTCATACTAGTGTCCAGAGGCCTAATCTGGCAGCTATGATCTGTCTGGCCAGTATGATATTAAAAAATTTGTTTAAGTGTATGCTTTTAGGTACTCTCCAGTTTGCTGCAGACTCCACAGCTCCAAATTACCCAAACCTGAGCTTTTCACACATTTGAGTCTAAAGGCATTTGACTTCCTAACCTGTGCCCCAAGGGAAGGACTGAGACCTGAGGGCCAGGTAGGGAACCAGAACCCTTGCTTGAGGGGAGGGGAACCAAGGGCAGCGCTCTCAGGGTCCCCGTGCCTCAGAAGGGGGCAGTCCTGGAGCAGCCAACACTCTGGCTTGTTCATCTGTGGGTCTCCCACTCGGTAACCCTTGAATCCTGGTCAGTTCTCCCCTTCCCACCAGCTCGTCCCTTTCCCAAAGAAGGGTGGTGGCCAAGTTTAGTTTCAAAGCTAGACCTGAAGTCTAGACCAGTGGCCCAGCCACAAAGACCTCTGTTGGGTTTTGGGGTCACTTCTGCCTCCCAACCCCATCAGTTCACCCAGACGTGCTTAGGAACACCCTCCCCCAAATTTCCCTTTATTTTAGGCAAAAGTATTTACCCTGACTGTGGTGCTCCTCCACATGTGAGGCTGAGACTGTCTCACTTTTCTAAGCACCCGAGTTCCTCCTGGGAACCACCCCCGCCACTCCCAGGCTGGGCTCCCTGTGGAGCTGATTTGCCAAGGCTTCTGGTCTTGGGGTTGCAGCCCCCAACCACTCACCTTGGCTCTTCCTTATGTTCCCCTTGGCAAGGCTGAACCTGGGTTTGGACTCTCCCCTCTTGTCTCAACTGGGAGCCCCTTCTCCACCCAGCATGTGGGTTGCCTGTGAGGGAGCTGAGGAGTAGCGAAGGTATGCTCTGTGCCCTCTCTACTCCCTTCCCCTAAGCCAGGAGAGCTCAGAGAGCTGAAGAGGGCCTTGAACTCCACTGAGATTGGAGCCCCAACCCCTGATGAATGGACTTCCCATGCGCGAGACTGTGGTCTGTGAGGATTCGGTTGGAAGGGCACCTGACCAGGGGAGATTGTTCCCTATCTAGCCGGCATCCCACTTTTACAGCTTCTCCCACTTGGTTCCATGCAGGGCCCCACCAAAGAGAGCCTGGGTCTGGTTTGAGGCCTCCAGGTATCGCTGGGCTCCACCTCCAGCTGACCTCCCAAACCACCCTCCAGGTCCAGACCACCTTGTGGGTCTCATGTCTGCTGCTCCCATGGAAAGGAAGCATCCACTGTGACCTATTTCATCCTAGAGCTGTTCGAGGATGCCAGCCTTGTCCTCAGGTCAGAGCTCCTCCCACCCTGTCAGAGAGAAAGAGAATGTAAGTCGCCTGGTCTGTCAGCCTTGTGAGCCCTTAGCTGCCATGGTGAGGGGCCAAGGTTATGGGAATAAGATTTGGGGCAGGAGAAAGGAGCAGAATCATCTGGGAGTCACAGGGACATAGATTAGGAGGCCAGGAGGAGAGAGGTGTGGATTTGGGAAGAAGGAGCCAGACTGCGGTTTGTGGGGGAAACATCATAATCAGAGGACGACGCTCAGCTCACCTGAGAGGCTAGCATCTCGCCCTGAAATAGCCAGGGCAGGAAGGGGCTCCTGGATGAACCTTTCGGCCCACCCCTGCCTCCTTCTCCCCCAGGACCCCAGATCTTCACCTCCTGCTGTTCATGCCCTGACCCACAGCGCAGATGGAGGACGAGTGAGGGGCGTTTGCAGCTCGGTCATAGAAGACACTAAGGCTTCATGATCTCTTGGGTCACTGCCTCTGGTGGCAGCCGATTGCCATACCACGTGGACACTCAGTCAGCCCCATAGAGAGGCCCATGTGGAAAGAGCTGTGGCTTCCGGCCAAGAGCCATCACCAACTGGTCAGCCAGGTGAATGACCACTGTGGACGTGGATCCCCCAGCCCCTGTCAAGCCTTCAGATGACTGTAGGCCTGGCTGATGCTGACTGCAACCTTATGAAGGGCCCTGAGCCAGAAAATACCCCATTGGGTGGGCCCTGAGTCACTGACCCACATGAAAGATAATCAATATATATTGTGTAAGCTGCGAGTTCTGGAGTAGTTTGTTCAGCAGTAGTAGATACTAATACGGGTCCTTGGCTTCCCTAAGTACAAGAATCGCCCTTTTTGAAGGTGGGGTATGCCCCTCAGAGCACTGTCCCTCAGCACTGCAGGAAGGGAGGCCTCGCTGGCGTTCATCCTGTGTGAGCCCTTCGCCTTTTTCCCACGTCCTTATCACTCTGACCCTCCATAGCCCTCCAGACCCTGGGCCTTGCCCTCTCCTCCCTGCTGCTCTAGGCCTCACACACCCGCTCCCTGGTGACCCAGCGCACTGGCTTCCCTGCGGGTGTAGCTGCTCAGGGAAGTAACAAGGGCTGATTGGACTTGTCAGGGGTGAAAGCGTTAACCACCCATCAATACAGAAGGTGGTGGGAGGACAGCAGAGGACGGTGGGGGCCAAGCCTGGCAGGTCAAATGAGGCTGAAGTGGATTGGTGTCCTGGGTCCTGGCACCTTGCCTGCCAGCACACTCTACTTCCAGTGTGACCACCAGCAGTCAGGTGGCTGCTCCTGGGGTCTGAGGAGCTGATGGGTTGACAGGGTGGGGAGGCGGGCACATCATTGCTAGGTGACGCAACAGACAGAGAGAGGAAGGCTTTGATGGCCTGGGTTCCTCCACAGAGTCAGTGCCCAACCCCACGCTGCAGCAAAAGTTCAGTCAATACTCCTGACGCAATTGCACTCCGAGGCTTTCTCTGCACACACCATGTGACCCACCCACGCAGGGCCACTGTAGTGTAGCCAAAGGGCCCGAGGCCGGAACTCCCGAGTGCCACGTCAGCAACGCTGTTACTAGCAGTGGACCGTCGCTCCAGGTGCCACTCATTCCCTGTCTCCATTCCACAGGGTTCTGGGAAGGTGGCCGGCACCCTCCCTGGTCCAGTGGGTGCTCGGCAAGTGCAGTTGGAATCGGGGTCTGTTGCTGAGAGGAGGGTCCCGGAGGAGGCAGGGACAAGGCCAGAGAGGCCAGAAGGGCACACCAGGCAGAGGAACAGCTCCTAGCCCGCTGCAGGCTTCTCTCTCCTCTATTAATTCTAACACTTTTACCTCTTGATTCTTTAGAGCTTTTTACATAGATAATCAGACTGTCGGAATTAATT